TATCGGTCTAAATGTCTTCTTGTTTTAGCGACTATTGTATATAATATTCTTGTCTCGCGTTACGGAATCTATCAGTCTTTATATGGCGGAACCTATAATCGATGAGACCGCACATCTCACGTTTGAAATAGCAAAAAATCTTGAAAATTTCTTGTATATAATTGGCAATCTCCTCTAGTTGCATTACAGAAGCAATATATTTATGATGATTTGATCTTTTTTACATTTACAAATACATCGAAATATGATTCAGGAATTTAATGGAGCAAGTACAGTAAAATATATTAATCAATTTGCATTATAAAATTTATGAAAAACCAGTGAAATGTATTCCAATGGTGTACTAATATCTTTTAAATGATACTGAGATTTTATCTATACTTTTTGTTGTTTTGTCACATGTTATAGAAATGATATTAACTAAATATTTCACAATCATAGTGAAGTGAGTTTTAGTTCGATGGATGATGATGAAGCGAGGGACTTGCTTATTTATACATTTTACGTATTTGAATAGAAATACGATACCTAAAAGGTATATGCAATTAATGACACTTTCCTGCGACAGAAAGTCAGGAACTCTTCGGCGCATACACGTATGAGACGTTTTGTAATTTGCTTATTTAATTTGCCTAATCAAAAAAATGGATCAGATTAAAGAATCGAAATTGCGAAAGGATGAAGCAGCAAAATATGAATATACGGAAAAAGGTTTTTATGAAATTGCTTTTCTTAAATGTCGTTTTTTATATATATATCTACATATATAATTCGATAAAAATGATTGGATATGCGAGAATACAACATCAGCATAAGGATTTCGTAATCTCTACCAATCCACATCATTTCGTAGAGATACTCAAGGAAGTAGAATAATGGTACATACAAATACCTACAACTTTATCTAGTACATTATAAAAAATATTTATTGTATAATCAATTAAACAAACAGAAAGATCCACTTTGCGATATATATAACATGTATCAATAAATATTACCGGACTAAACAATATTACGGTCTGAAAGTTACTCGTTCATTGACAAGCGTTACTTCTTATATTTCTTTGTTTTTCTTTGTTCTACTTATCTGGTAGCGTTTTTTTGCAGATAGCCTAGTTAGAAAGATCGGACTTATGTACATTTTTTTGCAAGTGCCGCCGCTCTCTGGCGTATTGTGGACAATAATAAATAAAATTTTCATTGCGCGTTTCTCCCGTGGTGTACACTTAATGGCGAATATCGTTTTTTATTTAGACGAAAATCCAATTAAAAATTTACGACCGCCACCTCCGCTTACTCGCGACCGACACATACCCGTTTACTTAACGTTATTTCTTTATTTTTACGAATTAGATTTTAGATGTTACTCTTATCGAATACGGACTATCTTAGTGACATACTTCGTACGTACACACTGGTTGCATTTTACGTTCAGTTTTACGTTCTACTTTTGCATACACTCACGGTACTTGGTTTAATTTACGTATATCTTGTAATTTAATGCGCATATATACGAGTAAAGATAAAATATATATTTTGCATTTTTATTCCTCCCAGTTAATACTATGAATTTTCCCTTCTCGCGTTATATATAATATATGTAATATATATATATTTTTTAATCTATAAGTAATAGGTTCGCTATCCAATAGATACAAAAGTTCATTTTCTTTAATTGCGTACGTATTCACGGCGATCGCTCACCATAATTTGACTTTTACAGCACCGAAATCCATCATATCTTTCGTTTAAACGCATTTTTATTTAAACATATTTTATTGCACTATTCAACTTTTGTACATATTACAATCGAATTAAATGTTTGCAAATAATCTTCGATTTGATAGATCGGTGCTGATCTATATCGAATTTAAACTTTTAATGCATATATACAATTTTGACAAATATTAAGTAATACATTATTATAAAGTAATACATACAGTATATGTAGCAAATCATAAAAATCTCATCTTAAAGTTTAAATTTATTATTATTCCCTTTTTAGCAATTTAAAAAGAAAATTATTAGATCGATCTCTAGAAATTGGATACATGAAACTTTCTTTTGGTAATAGTATATTATAACAATCGATATCATGGTCAAAGGATAAAAAATGCTTTTTTTATCAAAAATAATTAATAAAGAAGCCTTGCATATTGCATCATCTCCTCTATCATTAAAATAATATTATTTGATGAATATAATACAATACAATTAGAATTACGTGCAATTTGCTCGCAATAAAATATGTTATCCAAAAATCCATGTGATATCGTGCAAAGTTGTATGTCGTACGTCCACGTACTATAAATCATTCATCAATAATAACTGTACAATTATTGTACTTCAGAGGCTAAAAAACGTAAATCGTGATACAATTAGAATACAAAAATGTCTCAAAGATAATAAAACTTTTATATATCCAAATTACATAAAATCGAATGATGGAACAAAAATGTAAAAGATTGAGACCATGATTGGCTAGATTACGGATGTTACGAAAATGGCGAGCGATTGCCGTGGATTTTCACACAGTTCGTTGCTCCTCAAGGACAAAAAGTTTTATATAAATAAATTTCTCGAGAAGGAAAGGCTGGTCACACATGGCTCGATCGATGCACGAGCGCAAGCTGGACCATACGTTACGTATATCGATTACACGTTTTATGCCACTCTCTTCGCCTCTTTCTCCGATTTTTTTTCGTAAAGAGATGGTAAGGAGCCGAATTCTGCAGTGAGTTAGAAATTAACCACCTCTATAGGCATTTTTGACCGCTGTTCAATTAATTAGCCACGCGGTTATTAATATCATTTATTACGTATATCATTAATTATGGTGTATACAAGATATACACTAAATAATTATGTCGAATCTAAGTTTACAACACAGCACAAGAATTCACCGCGGCGGAATATATGGGCTCGCCTGGCTACAACGTGGCCGGGCTTTCCTGGATCTCCCGATACGGCATAATCAAATCAATTCATCGAACCAGATCAGACGATCGAGTTGACGAGTGCCCTGATACCGCTTGCCACACTTAACACGCTTGTTTCGATATAAATGTAACAAATTGAATTCTTGTTGATCACACATTTATCATATATAGAAAGTGTTTTGTTATGTAAAAACTAAATAAAAATATTATATAAAATTCTCATATAAATAATAGAAAATAATTCACAAAAAAGAAGCACAATCACTCAGTTAAAAAAACCTAAAATAAATATAATTTGAATAATTTTCATACTATATATTAAAAAAAATCAAACAAACAATATATTTATTTGGAATGATAATGCAATTAAATTATCGTATATACATAATAAAACAATTTCTTTTGGTCAAGTTAGCTCTAAGTCACTATTAAGGTGCCAAGCGGTTTCATGCCGAAAGCATCCTATTCCGAAAATACGCTATGTATTATAACACTTGGTAACTTGGCGTCATGTCGCGCGGAGCAAGAGCAAATTTTCGATAGCTACTAATGCAAATAAACTTTCGTTCCTTGAATTATCTTCTCTTAATATTTACAGGAAAAGAAGAATTGCAACGCTATTACGAGTATAACTATTGCATTTACTCTTTTAAAAAAATTCTAAAGAAAATAATTTATTCGAGATCACATTACGTGTCCGACATTGTAAAAGACATCACGCTATATACACTTTATTTATTTATAATATCAAATATTATTAGATATTATCAGATATCTTAATATCAAACAGTTGTCTTCTGAAATTATTTCAACTATTTCAAATACAAACTAAAAGTTTCTTGATCCAAATAATAAATAATAATATAAAATACATTTCTAAATTATGTAAAAAATACAAAAATGGAAATAATGTAAAAAATTTTAATTAATTTGAACATTCTTTTCCAAGCACAGACACGCTTTTTAGCTAGGAAAGAACTGCTTATATACATTATATACTCGTCATTTTTTGAGCAATATGCGTGATAGGAACAAATTTTTTCAACTATCGGTTATTATAAACGGATAAATTACATTTTTATGTATTATTAATTACACAAAAATATAAGCTTATTCCGTTGAAGTTCAAAGCTTACTGTTCTTATCAAATGCACGATGATTTAACGAGAAACAAAGTAATGTAACCGATAATTGCGATCATTAGCAATCTTTATAAGACTAACCTTGCGATGACGCTGATGAAGAAATGCCAAGTCCATTTGACTCTGCTCCGCCGAAGGGCGCTGTTTTTTTTTTTTTTTTCATATTCACTTTATCAATCAGCACTAGTCTGTCCCATTCATGGTCGCTTTTTCCGCATACAAAATCCAAAAACAACGCCGTGATCTTTCTATTTATACATCAAAATTCACTGATCTTCCATGGAATTAGTTTTGCACACACTTGTATCACTATTCTCAGAATAAGACGTAAACTTTGCGATATTTCTCTTCCGCTTTTGCACTGCTCTTTGTGTCCACTTGCTGTATCCCGCCGTTACTCGAATACTCCTTCGAATTTTATCAAAACACATTCTCAAAGATCACACTTGGCACGAATCATAAATATCCTCGTTAGAGCCACCGCTCGGCGGTATTAAAGAAAAAAAAAAATCTATCTAAACAATCCTCTAAGGACACTAAACCGCTTACCTATCGCTAAATACAGACGCGATGGACATCTTCGTACAGCTATTCTACTAATCGTCCTACAATTCTACTTTACGATGTAAGAGAATAAATAATAAAATGCTCTCCTAAGATTTTTAACACGATCTTTTTTTTTCTATCATACTCGCAATCAGATTTGCGCAATCATTCTTTCTCAGTAGATTTAACTCTTAATACTATATCATTCGGAACCATGTTCTTCTACGTGCGTTAGTGCCAACCGATCATCGGTCACTCGCTCCCACATTAAACTACATATATCTCTATCCATGTATGTATATATTTATGTATATATATGTATATATATATATATATATACATATATATGTATAATATATATATATATGGACTTTAGTATACAATAATCGTTAATTAAACGTAATAGAGGTTAACGCGGTTCTGATTAGCATGTGATCCAGTTTTATTTACTCTTCTCGATCAATAATCTTGATCCACCTTTTTCACGCGCATTCACGCCAATCCTCTGCTGACTCGTTTGTGCGTCTTTACTTCGTTTTATTCTCTTCTTCTTGCATTCTCGTAACTTTACGTCTCTGGGGTTATCGTAAGTTGCCTTCTTATCGTCTTCAAGCGCTCTTACAGGTCCTTCTACAACTTCCTCGTCTTCATCGTTATCTGCTTCGTTTTTGGTACAAGCAACATGATTAACACGACAAAATAAGCGTCATTGCTTAGAGGGATCATTTGGAGGTCATCGATGGGGATTGGAGTTTGGGTAGGGAGGAGGTAGTGCTGGAAACAAGGTATTAACGACCCTGAGAGAGGTGGGCAGGAAGTTCCACTCCCCTCAGAGCTCTTTTAACCCTGCGGCGACGTCTGCGGCGAGATTTCAGTGTCGCCATCGCCTGAGCCTGGCTCGCCTTTCGTCTTATTCTCTTTCTTCCACTTCATCCGTCTGTTTTGAAACCAGATCTTTATCTGCCGTTCCGTCAAACATAGCGCGTGTGCGATCTCGATGCGTCGCCGCCTAGTAAGATATCGATTGAAGTGAAATTCTTTTTCCAGTTCTAACGTTTGATATCGTGTATAGGTCTGCCGACCTCGTTTCCTTTCTGAAACAAAAGAAATTAAAATTTCGAATTAATATAAATTGTTACCTATTCGTAAATTATTATACTATATCTATACATAAGTATAAGAGAAAATTATATTGTACAAGATATGCGTCAAATATGTCGTGTAGTAATATATTATAAATATAAATGTAAAATCTTTTTTAGCGGTTGCATTGGCATAAAAGTATCTACAACTGTAGCGGACAAGATATAGATATCTCGCTATCTTATCTTTAAACTACAAAGTTAACTACCAGTTAACTAATATATTTCATAAATACTACAGCCTATGATTGACTTGACTGGCCGATAGTTTCTGTACACTTGAACAAAGTTTCTGTAAATTTTAATGAAATAAATAAAATACCGTTGCGAATAAAAAAGACTCAGGATCGTAAATGCAGTTCCGCATATGATAGATATCTTAGCGATATCCGCGATATGATCTGCGGTCAGTGCGTGGTACACGAATTCCGAACAAGAATATTAATTATGGTTGCCAAGAGAGCGAGAGAGGCAGAAAAGACGGAGGAAGATACTAAGGAGACAGAGCTAGTTGACTCTGTGTGAGAAGTCTCGCAACTTTACAAGGTATAAACCTCAAAGGGTTTGGTTCGGTTACCCCGCCATACGAGTGAGAGAGCAAAATAAGAATGCTTCAGAATGGTATGAGGGAGGGAAGAAGGAAGAAGAGGCGTAGGGATGAGAACTGGAAAGTAAGGAGGGGAGAGGTGAAGAAGGAGAAGAAGAAGAAGAAAACTCCTTGGCGAGCATTCGAGGCAAACGCCGCCCGTCGCGCTGTCGGCCGATGAAGATGGATGGCGGGTCTGCTCCGGAGAGAGATGGAGAGATCGCGTAGGTTCCTGAACCTTCGACTAGACGAAGAGGACGATATACGGAGGAAGAGAAAAAAACGCGCGTTAGAGAAAGAGAGGGGCAGAGAGGAGAGGATAGAGAAAGTTGGGAACATGCCCTCTTATTCCTTCCCTTGGGCTACGCTCTCAAATTAACAACATACCAATCTCTAGCGCTCTCTTATAAGCTTTAACGATTTAGGCAACTTCCTTGGCTCTCTTTCCTTCCGTTATTTTAAGAAAAATAGCCATTTACTATTCTAAAATTATAATAAATATTATTAAAAAGTAATTATATCGGTCATCGCATAAACAGATATATGCTCTTATAAAATCATGTACATATTATATGAAAAAAATATTATCATAATTGATTATCAAGTGTACCGTCGACTGTTTCTATGAAAGCTATATCCTATTAATATTCATTTGTCACACCGCGTTAATGAAGATCACATTCTAGATCTAAGGTTAGATCATCAAAGCATCGCGCGTCGGTGAAATACATGAAACATGTTCAATAGCACTTCAGAAAATGTCTATTTATTTAAGTAATTTTATTTATAGTATTTTATTCTATAAATAAATAAATCGTATTCGAAATCAAAGTTTATATGTGACTAAAATTTTAACTGATCAGTAACATCAAAATTTCCAACATAGCAACCGCACATTATTTTTAAAACGCTAAAAAAAATTTTAGATACACATATATATATTTTTATTCGAAACTTATATATTCATCTGAAATATGTTTATACGATCACTTTAAATAAAGATAATCCTGAGTTGAAGCGGCGTAATAATCAGGTTTGTTTCAAAAGGTCACTTCGCCCATAAATCCTCTCGTGCCACTAGATGTTGCAGAGCAAAGAAATGAATTATTAAACGCTGCATCGAGACGAGTCTGTATTATTTATGAGCTAAAACCTATAAAGTTTTCGAGCCAATCGATTTGATTATTGAAGACTAAAACCTCGATTAGATGTATCCAGATGTGAGAATTAGATAATAATAACAATAATATGTGAGCGGACAATAATACGTGAGTTGAGTGAGGTTAATTAAAGAGAGAGCAATACTTTATGTACTCAGACGTTATTTACCAACATGATTACATGCTTTTATAAGATGTAACTATAGAAAGAGTTGTGAACTGATATTACATTTTTGAAAATCGAAAAAATTATTCTCAACAGATCCTAATAAAAATACATACTAAAAAAAAAAGATAAATGTGACTAAATTCTAAATGTTAAAATCCAGTTTTTTGATGAATTTAAATGTTGAAAATTAATTTTTATTTTTGAGAACAACGTTATTATCATACAACGATATTTCTCACATTTAATTTATTATACATATGACGTTACTGCGGTTCCATTGATATTTTTAAGATACGTGATGCATACACGCAGGCATGCATACGCGCGTATGGAAAGAAGTCCTGTAATAAGAAAGTCATACCGATGGCTTAAGTTTGTGCCGGATCGGCGTACCAGCACTGCCACGGCTTTCGCGGACGGAGGTGACTTTAAACGCGGAGCAATAAATTAACGGCGTTGGGTTACGCAAGGATCAAATGTCCCCTGGAGTATGCCCGGGAGATTTATGGGTCTGCCTTCACTGGCGCAGCATGAAGGAACGAAACAGAACAGAACGTACACAACCGTGCGGCTTATTATAGGCTAGTTGCTCCGTATCTCCACTTCCCCTCCTGCCTGACTAGTCTTTCAGGCCCGCCGCAGGATACACGCAGGACTTTTCAGATTAACAGCTAGCCGGATGTTGTAACCCGCTAATAAGGTGCGGCCACCACTCGGTGCCCAATTAAGCTAAGCTTTACGTGGGCACTATAAGGCCAGGCCTTGAAACGCGTTTCGATTAGATATCCTAGATGTATCATTAATTTTATCATTTGCTCACGGTATCAACCTTGGGTTGTAACTACACCGTTGACGGACATTAATATTAATTGCACAAAATTGTATGGATAGCTTCGAAAATTTTCTTAAACACTCAGATGCAACTAAGTCGGAATTTAACATCCAGTTTGTTGTATGTAATTTTTAATGACAAATGTAACTAAACATTTTTTATTTTCAAATGTTGAAGATTTGAATATATATTCCTCGAAAAATATTCTTTGAGACAATTTATATAAATAAATAGTGCAGAGATATAATTAATAATGATAAAAAATTATGACGTTCCAATTTTACCACATATTTTAGATCAGACAATTTATTTTCATTTTTATTAGCAATTCTTACAAATTTGCAAACGGTCCTCATAAGATGAATTAAATCCTAAATGCTTTATTTTGTTTCTTTTAGTAAAACTATAATTTCAACGTATGTTTTATATATACTTTTAATGTTTTATATAGACTAACTAAGACTGACTGAATTTCACAGAAGTTTTCAGCGAAAGAGAAAAGCATCAAGTCCGCTAACATTTATAGAGGAAATTTAGAAACTCCCAAGGAGACTAGAGTAGGTTCTATAGGTAGTTTTTCCTTTCCTTGCTTTCGCTTTTCTTTTTTTGATCTTCCGGGCAGACGAGCAGACAGGCAGACAAGAAGATGGAGTCTGAAAGAGCCCCGAGGTAGAAGGTTGAGATAATGAGCAGCGAGAACGGCTTGCCGCGACATATGCATCTTTACGGGTATCACTCGGAGCATTAAAATTTACTTTTTCTCTTGCACCTGCTATTCTAGATACGAACAATATAATTATCTCATAAAACTTAAAATTGAATCGTGACAAATAGAAATTTTTATTTTATGCAACAACTCAAATTGATTGTTAAGTATTACGTAAATGAGTAAATCAAATCACAACAAAATAGAGACAATTTTGTCTTTTAAAGTTGAATTCTAGCCAAATATCGAATAGGAAATCAAACCACGACCTCCATATCGTTCACAATTGCCTCCATGGCGGAGCTCCAAAAGAAAACGGTCCCAGGATTTCTGTGGATTCATTCATCATCATCATCTATCCCTTCTACCTCTTTCTACCACCTCGATCTCTCTCTCTCTCTCTCTCTCTCTCTCTCTCTCTCTCTCTCTATTTCTAATATATACATATGTACACATATGAATGTGTACATATACACGCACATATTCTCTCTTCTTTCGCCTTTTTTAGCTCCTCCTTTCCTGCCCCTTTTGGACTCCATCGCTTTTTAAATATCTCACGAAGCCGCCATCGTTATGGCCACCAATCTGTTGAGCGGCTAGTTGGATTATAATAAAATGCATATCGGATTTGGAATGCTGATTCTTCTTGTTCTATCTGCTGATTCATTCCTCGAATAACGACTAAAAATTTTATCTGATGCGTCGAATATCATTTTAGTTTTAAATATTTTATAAAATTTTATTACATGACTTCGATCTTAATA